AAAAAAAAAAAAAAAAAAAAAAAAAAAAAAAAAAAAAAAAAAAAAAAAAAAAAAAAAAAAAAAAAAAACAGCTATGGTCTAGAAACATAGGAAAAACAAATGCATTTATGAGACAACATTTTAAATCATGACTAACCCAACACTAATAAGAAATAATGTTTTTTTTTTCCTTTTAAATCATGAAATTATTTGAAAATACAAATAATAATAATAAAAAAGCTAAATCTTTTTAGAAAAAGTAATTAAAAAAAACATATCTAAACAAATCAAATTTTAAGATTTTATATAGAAAAAAGTAGATTTTATTTTTTCGAAATTAAAAAAAAAAAAAAAAAAAAAAAAACATGGCCAAATTGCACTAACAACAGTTAACTCAACCAACCAAAATAATAATAATAATAATAATAATAATAATTTAAAATAATTATATAAAACTGTTCCAATTCATTGAACTTCCAAATGGGTCATGGTTCATTGGTTCGTTTAACAAAGCTATTAATTTCAATATTCTAAATGTTCCCCATCTTCCTACAATTAATTCTTTTATTTATTTATTGGGATTTTAAAGCTTTTATTTATTTATATATTTTATTTTATTTTATTTTTAAATTTGCATTGGTTTTATTAAAACTTAAATCTACGGTACAAAATAAATAAATAAATAAAATTAATTAATTAAAATATTATTTCTCTTGTCAACTCTACATGGGTTTTCAAAGCTATTCATGACTTTAATAATTATTAATTGATTATTATTTTTTAATTTAAAGCTTTAAATTAATTATTATTAACTCTATTATTTTATGGGTTGACCACAGCTTTAAGGACAATTATTATTCACTTCACATACTTCCCTTTTTTAAAGGCTGATTTTAAAAGAATAAAGGGAAGAAAATAATAATTTAAGTCAATTTTTTAATTATTGATTTATAATTGTAGTAATAATATTATTTAATCATTAAGTTAGATGTTGGTTGAAATAATTAAAATTTAATATAGTTCAAAAAGTATTTATTTGAGTTTTTAAATATTATTAAATACTTTTATGGTTTATTTAACATTAAAAAACATGTCTTAAAAAAATAATAACGTTGTTGCAGTTGAAGAATTTAATATAATTCAAGTAATGGGCTTGGCTCAGAGGGTTTATGTTAACATGTCGGGCTTGAATCTCAAGCCCAATATACTGGGAGAATCTAAATTGGGCTTGAATCTCAAGCCCAATATAGTGGGAAAATCTAAGTTGGGCCTAATCATCAAACCCAATAGCTACTATTTAGTTAAAAAAATTTAAAACTTTAATTCGAGTTTTTTTTTTTTTGGGTCAACCCGACAAACTAGAAAATCGGTTCATAACCTAACCGAACGGTATTTTTAAATTTTTTATGAGGATTAAAAATATTTAATATTTGTAACATATGATAAAGAGGCGATGTTAGGGTGTATACGAGTTGGGTTGGGTTGGGTTGGGTTAGGTTGGAAAAATCTTTTGAACCAACTGGAAATTTCGCTTTGGTTGAGTTGGTGACGTGAATAACCCGAATAGAATTCATAATCCAACTTCTATTTTTGGGTTGAGTTGTCGGGTTGCTCTTTTTTAAAAAGGAAAATATTGGTGAAATGCTTCGAAAGGAGACAAAGTTTGTGACAAGTGTAAAACAGGATGACGGTTACCCTTCACAATTAGGATCCAAAACCCTAATTCATCTTGAAACTCGAGCAGTCTCCCCCCATACACCAGGAAGGCTTCTAACTTCTCCGCTCTTGTCAACCAAAGGGCCATTGTTCACGAATGATCAAACAGTTGTGTAGGGACGGGCAATTTCTTAGTCATTTATTGGTACTCGTACGTTTATATATTGTAAGACAAAAATGGATTTAAGTATGTAACAACGGAAAAACAATAATAGAATCTAGTCTCCTAAAGATATAGTATTAAAAGCTATTCATAATAAGACGTATTTTTAAGTTTCATACGAGAGGTAACTTATATGTCACGTAGCTATAGGCCCTACGAGATAATAGCGATAAGGGCAAAAATTGGACCATATGTTTGTTGGAGCTCTCCAAGAAGCTTCTACCATACCCAAATGCCAATAGTTAGGGTTCATGGTTTAATGGGTTAAAAAAAAAGGCGTAAATTTCAATGGATTTTGGTTCCAGAAGAGAACGAAATATTCCTTATAACGGTGTGGAAATCTCTCCTTAGGAGACATGTTTTAAAATCGTGAGGCTGACGGTTGTACAGACAAAAGTGGAGAATATCTGCTAGCGGTGGTGGATTTGGGCTGTTACAATATTTTTGTTCCTTCTTGTAAGAAGCCCTTACGCGTCGTTTGGCTGATGGAAAAAAGAAGAGTGGAAATGGGTTTTGAATACCGAATCCATATTTGTTTTGAGTTTTAACGTACATCATTTCTCAGGGGCTTAAAGGTAATTTCCTTTTCCGAGTAAAAGTGTGGGTTTTGCTTTTGGTTTTGTGACTACTCTCCTATATCACTTTTTCTCTCTTCGTTACACAACTTTTTAATTTTCTTCTTCTCGTATTCGAGCTCGTGTTTCTATCATAACTTTTCCTCCATTTTTTAACCGTGGATAAACTCGGAAAAATAACTTAAAATTTAACGCATACAAATCAATTGAGACGACTTAGTTCAATATCATTATTTTATCGTTGAATTTTAATATTTATTGATAACGAAATTTTTAAAAAATTAATTTTTATTTATTTACCAAAAGAATTGAAAAATAAAAAATAAAAAATAAAAGTTACCTCTCTTTTGGGCACAACCAAAGGCAATGGAGAAAAACATTGTTAGGGAATCTATAAATATATATATATAATATATTTATTTATTTATTTATTTATTTTTATTATTATTATTTTGTCTCTTTAAAAGGATGGATGTATGTGTCACTTTCTTTGGACATCTTTGCATTAAAAGCAACGCCATTCTCTATGTCCACCTAGCCTTAGTGGCATTTTCGTAATTCTCTTGTCTCGTTATTTTTCTCGGGTTTCGTTTATTTTATATTCTTTTTAAGTTTTGACAGCATGTCCGTGGCATTTTCATAATTCTCTTGTCTCGTTATTTTCTAATGACTTCGTTTAGAGTTCTGACAATAATTCGAGACGATTGTGTCAAAATTTCTGACTTCTTTATCGAGCGTATATATTTTAATTAATTGAGTTATATTCATATCTTTACATTTATATCAATTTTCTTTCTATATTTAAAAAAATTATTTATTTATATTAATTTCATGGGGTTATTCAAATTTAGAGCTTAATTTGATAAAATTATAATGAAACTCAATATAAAAATAAAGTAATAATAGTTAGCCATTAAATTTAAACAACTTGAGATTAAAATAATATTAAATTTTCAAAATTATTATTTATTTATTTTTGGTTTTCCCCCTCAAATTATTAATAAATGCATTCAAAAGACAGATGCTAATTCTATTAAATAAAAATCATGTGATTTATTTTTTTATTTTTTATTTTTTTTATTTGATGCACAAATTTCAAGCATCAAATTATTATTTAATAAATACATCTTGACAATTATTTTTAAAAAAATTAAAAAATTGGTGATTTAATTTAAATTTAAATTTACTTTTAAAAAAATATCTAATTACCCACAAACTTATAATTATAAGTTTATTTTTAAAATATTTATAAAATAATTAAACACAAAAATAAAATTTTAATTTTACATTTAATTAAGAAATTAACTTTAAAAATTTTAAATATACTTTAAAAATCTATTATAAATTTTTTTTATAGATATTCATTAAATAATTATATATATATATATAAAATTAAAAAAAAAGTTTAAAATGCTCTTTTTTTTCAAAATTTATAATATTACTATTAATTTTTTTTATAAACGTTTCAAAATATAGTCGAAACATAAAATTGTTAAGATGTTGGATGAAAAGTAGACGTGTTTGAACGTCGTTCTTCCATACTTGAACCAAGCAAATTTGTCAATCCAATAATCGTACAAATATCTACTCGGAGGGTCGAAACGTTTATAAATTAATTTTTTTAAAAAATAATAGAAAAATTAGAAGATATATTTTTTTAGATTAAATTATAAATTAAAATTTTCCGTATGAAAGGACATGAGATAAGAATGTGTTTGAGTGGTGAATTGCATTGGGATCTGATGAACTCTGAAGTCAAAGTCAAGGTATCATCAAACCCTCATCTCATTCATTCCCTGTTTCTCTCTCCTTCAATAAACGAAAACAGGGTGATTAGTTGGCAGCACTACCTACCAGCTTCCCACTCCTACTGCTACTCAGCCCCTGATCTTCATTTTCAAGCCCTCCCTTTAATTTCCCCTTCAATTTTCACCAATTTTCTCACCGATTTTATCTCCACCGCCACTTCCATGGCTTCTTCAACCTCCTAAATCCCTCAATTTCGATTTTCCACTTCTTCTGGGATGTGGGTTTTCCTGTTTTTCTCATATGCTTTGATTCTCTTGCTCTTCCCATCATGTTTGATTCCTTGCAATTCTTGGAATCTGACCCCTGATTTTGGCATCTGATTTCGCTCTTCCCCTTTTGCGCAATCTATGAGTTCTGTAAATTCTTCCCCTGTTTTTTTGGTTCCCAATTATTGTATTTTGATTTCCTTGTTTCTGTTCTTGACAATCTGGTTTGCCAAATTGGGCTTTAGTGGTTTTGTTTGTGTTCATTGTACTGAGAATTTGGGCTGTTTGGTGGGTTTTTAAGCAATGCAGATAACCTGTTTGATAATATGCCTGTTCATGTTTGTAAATGTATTGGGGCAATCTGATTTTGCTGCACTTTTGGAGCTAAAGAAAGGCATTGTTCAAGACCCTTCTGGGCAACTTGATTCATGGGATTCGAAGTCCTTGGATTCTGATGGCTGTCCCACTAATTGGTTTGGGATTGTTTGTGTTAATGGCCGTGTTATAGCTCTTACTTTTGACAATGCCGGACTAGTTGGTGAATTTAGCTTTGCTGCCATTTCTGGCCTTTCTATGCTTCGTAATTTGTCACTTTCAAACAATCAGTTCACTGGGAATATTGTGAAAGTTGGTTTGTTAAAGTCCCTTGAACTCTTGAATCTATCTCGTAACAAGTTTCACGGTTCGGTTGCTGGTTTTTCGATCGGGTTGGTTAACTTGGTATCGATCAATCTTTCTTCAAACCAGTTTGTTGGAGCTTTTCCTTCTGGTTTTGGTAAACTTGAGAAGTTGAAGTATGTGGACGTGCGGGGTAATGGATTTTTGGGGGATATCACTCTTCTTTTGTCACAATTGGGCAGTGTTGTATATGTTGACTTGAGTAGTAATCAGTTTACTGGTTCGGTGGACGTCGGAGTTAGGAATCCGTCTTTTGTTGCCTCGGTTCAGTATCTGAATGTTAGCCATAACCTGTTGAATGGTGTGCTTTTTCCTCATGATGGGATGCCTTATTTTGATAGCTTGGATGTTTTTGATGCTAGTAACAATCAGTTTACTGGTACTGTACCTCCCTTCAATTTTGTGGTCTCTCTACGTATACTTCGACTTGGAAGCAATAAGTTATCAGGGTCGCTTCCAAACGCCCTCGTACGTGAGAGCTCGATGCTCTTGACCGAGCTGGATCTTAGCTTTAACCAACTTCAAGGTATTCATATAATACATTGTCCTTTTAAGGAATACTATATGCTCTCTGGATTTTTTTAATTGTAATTGATACTTGATTTGTTAATATCCGAACTATTTGAATTTTGAAGTTGTTAAAGTGTAATAGTTCAAGTTCACCGTTAGCAGGTATTGTCCTCTTTGAGCTTTTCCTTCATGGGCTTCTCCTCAAAGTTTTAAAACGTGTCTATTAGGAAAAGGTTTCCACACCCTTATAAGGAATGCTTTGTTCTCCTCTCCAACCAGTTGTGAGATCCCACATGGATTGGAGAGGAGAACAGAGCACTCCTTGTAAGGGTGTGGAAACCTCTCCCTAGTAGATGCGTTTTAAAACTGTGAGGCTAACGGCGATACGTAACGAGCCAAAACGGACAATATCTACTAATTGTGGGCTTGAACTGTAACAAATGGTATCAGAGTTAGACACTGAGCGGTGTGCCAACGAGGACGCTGGGCCCCCAAGAGGGGTGGATTGTGAGATCTCACATCAGTTGAAGAGTAAAACGAAACATTTCTTATAAGGTTGTGGAAACCTCTCCCTAGCATACGTGTTTTAAAATCTTGAGGGGAAGCCCGAAAGGGAAAACTCAAAGAGTACAATATCTGCTAGCAGTAGACTTGGGCTTTCACGTTGTTTTTCATAAGTATCTATCTTGCCAAGGAAAAACTGCCTTCAAGAAAGAAAATGTATCTATGGCTCTGTTTCTTTTGCTTTCTAATGTGATTCTTTACTCATGTTTGAATCATTCTATCTAATGAATCTTTCTCAAACTAGTCTTAATGTTTTATAATATCCGATTCTTGTGATTTACCTGAACATACCCCCCTGTGGAGCATCTCGACTCGTGGTTCATCCCGTTATCGAGCATCTTAACATCTAACGACTTATTCATGGCAGGTCCAGTTGGGAGTATTACATCAACAACTCTGAAGAAGCTTAATATATCTTCAAACAAATTGACAGGCTCCTTGCCCACCATTATTGGCCATTGTACTGTTATAGATCTTAGTAATAATATGCTGTCAGGCGACTTATCTCGGATTCAAAGCTGGGGAAATCATGTCGAAGTTATTGAATTAAGTTCGAATTCATTGACAGGCACGTTATCAAACAAGTCTTCTCAATTCTTAAGGCTTACTTTGTTGAATGTCTCCAATAACTCATTGGAGGGCATTCTTCCGACCGTGTTGAGTACCTATCCCGAACTCAAGATTATCGATTTAAGCCATAACCGGCTTAACGGTCCTCTCCCATCTACTCTTTTTCACTCTTTGAAGTTGACTGATCTTAATCTCTCAGGCAACAATTTTACAGGTCCTATCCCACTCTATGAGAGTATAGATTCTACTTCTAGTTCTTCTTTACAGAATCCGAGCCTGATATCTCTTGATCTATCACGAAACTCATTGACCGGTCGTTTACCATCGGAATTGAGTAAGCTCCACAGCTTGGTATATCTAAATCTGTCGAAAAACTATTTCGACGGCGTCATCCCGGATAACCTTCCAAATAGTTTGAACGGTTTTGATGTGTCGTTTAACAATCTCTCTGGGGAAGTTCCTGGGAACTTGATGAGGTTTTCTGAATCATCATTTCATCCAGGAAACTCCTTACTAGTTTTTCCTTCTTCCCCAGCAAATCCAAAGGACTTCCCTGGTCTGACACCTTCAACCATGCACAAGCCTCATATGAAACCGGTCGTTAGAATCGTTCTCATTGCAGGCTTGATCGTCGTTGCTGCATTGGTAGTTCTTTTTTGTATTATATTGTATTACAGAGCTCGAAGGCTTGACCGTAGGAGCAGTTCAACCAATGATGGAAAGGAAGGTGCCTTGGAAGAAGCTTCTTCTGTTACTCGTCGTTCCGAAACCGATACAAAGAAGAATGCATCAATACCTCCATCTAACCTAGGGGAGGGTCATGTTGGTGGCGACGTGTGGTCTGGTTCAGACAAGGCTAGAGATGTTGGCTATCATGAATCATTGGGAAAAGGAGAAGGCATGTCCTCCTCACCCATGTCTCTCATGTCATCTTCAAATCCATCACCTTCGAAGAGCTACCAACATCTCGATAATCCTCGAGCACTAAAAGTTCGGTCTCCTGATAAATTGGCTGGGGATCTACATCTTTTTGATGGCTCCTTGATGTTCACTGCTGAAGAACTTTCTCGTGCTCTGGCTGAAATTGTAGGGAAAAGTTGCCACGGGACGTTATACAAGGCGACACTTGACTCGGGACATGTATTGGCTGTCAAGTGGCTGAGGGAGGGAATGGCCAAAGGAAAAAAGGAATTTGCAAGAGAAGTGAAGAAACTTGGGAGTATTAAACATCCAAATTTAGTATCCATAAATGGATACTATTGGGGCCCCAGGGATCACGAGAAGCTTCTTATATCAACTTTTATAAATGCACAATCTTTGGCTTTCTATCTTCAAGGTAAGATCAAATCTCTCGGCCTTTACGTCGACATATACGTCGAGTAACTCTTAGAAAGTTGGAAACTTTGATAGAGAATCATATCCAATGTGATTGATTGATTGAATGAACTTCTTTGTTTTTCTGCAGAGACGGAGCGAGGCGGAGTCTTGCCGTTATCTCTACCGGACCGTCTTAAAGTTGCTTTGGACATAGCTCGATGTTTAAACTACTTCCACAACGATAAGGCGATCCCACACGGCAACCTGAAATCCTCGAACATTTTGTTAGAAACTTCGACGATGAATGCACGACTTACAGATTACAGTCTACACCGCATATTAACCCCGGCTGGCACAGCGGAGCAAGTTCTGAATGCAGGTGCCTTGGGCTATCGGCCACCCGAATTCGCAAGCTCGAGCAAGCCCTGTCCATCGTTGAAGAGTGATGTCTATGCATTTGGAGTCATCTTGTTGGAGCTCTTAACAGGAAGCAGTTCAGGGGAAATAGTTTGTGGGATTCCTGGAGTTGTTGATCTAACAGACAGGGTCAGGTACTTAGCTAGAGAAAGCCGCTTCGACGAGTGCATCGACAGGACGATGCTGGACATTGACCGTGATGAAAAGCCGCCCAAACGGGTCGAAGATATGCTTGAGATGGCTCTAAGATGTACTCTACCAGCAGCTGAGAGGCCAGACATGAAAACTGTGTATGAAGAACTTTCAGTGATTGTGCAGTAGAAAGGATAATCCATGGTACAGAAGCTCTAACTCAACTTTTTTCTTGCTAACATCATTGTTTTCGGGTATCAATAAGCTGTCGTTTTGTCAATTTTGCGCCATTTTTTGAGTCGATAACACTATTTTTTGAATCTCCCAAGTTCACTGCTAGTAGATATTGTTTGCTTTGACCCGTTACGTATCGTCGTCAACCTCATAGTTTTAAAATGCGTCTGTTAGGGAGAGGTTTTTACACTCTTATAAGAAATGTTTCGTTTTCCTCCCTAACTAACGTGGGTTCTCACAGTTAATAGGGACGTGATTGAAAATTTTGAAGATACAAAACCAAAACTTCTAAAAGTTCGAGGGCGTAATTGAAAGTGATATATACTTGAGGACCGAGCCAAAATTGGTAGACTTGACAAAAATATATAAAAAAAAATAATAAATAAATAAGATAAACAAACAAAAGAAATGACATAGAGAGGCAAGGATGAAAGGAATTTATGTTTGATTGAATCAAATGAAAGAAATATAAAGATTTGTGGATATTTTCAAAATAATAAAAAAAAAAATTGTGGACTTTTTTGCAATTTTTCTTCATATCCTTCCAATATGGTTGGCATAAAGCTGGCTTGAGCCATCTTTATTTATTTATTTATTTATATATATATATAACATATTTAAACATATATAAATTTAATTATTATTAAACACAAAATTGGAAAATCAAAACTTATATTTTAACACTGTCGAAACCATTAACTAGAGGTGTATATCGAACCTCATCGTTTCAAAACTCGAACCAATCCAACCCAGATCATAAGAGTTGGGTTGAGTTGGATTAATTTCTTAGGACCGATCCAGTTCAATTCGGTTTCAGATTTAGTGAACAAAATATTGAATACAACAAAGTTAGATCAGTAGACAATCTTTACTTGAAAGAATAATGAATCCTGCTGGTAAACACATTACACTTATTACGTTCGATCCTACAAAGAACTTTCTGACTTAGAAAGAAAAGTAGCAGCTGGCAAGGATGGAAAAGAAAGGAACTAGTGTTTGTCTATATATTTTTATGATTTTTTTCGTATTCAATGTTTCAATCGGGTTGAAGTTCTCGAACAAAAGTATATAATTTTCGCTCGAAAAAAAAAAACTAAAAAATATTAAAAAGAATAAAAAGGAAAAAAAATTAAAAAAAATTAAAAAAAATAAGTTACTTTAGGACTGCCCCACAGCCACGCTGGGCCGCCTGTTTGGAATGAAGGGTATCCCTACCCACGTGAGGAACCTTCTCTCTCTTACATTACAACAAAACAAAGATACGACACATAATTCAAAATTTTTGTTTTTTTTTTTTTCAATTTTCTTATTCTTTTTTATTATTATCAACCTATTTTTATAATTTTTAATATATATATATATATATTAAATTAAATTGTAAATTTGACCGTGAAAAAATGGTTATTAAATTATAACTCTATTTTCGTTGGATTAATATAATTAAAAAATGTCAAATTTATGAATTAAATTGAAATTTTTATTTTTTAAATCTGAGACTGTGAAAAAAATAGCTCAATATTTATTATTTGAATTGAATAATTTAGATTAGTAGGATGATTATCTATTAATTTTAAATTAGAAAAAAAAAATTAGATTAAAGAAAGTGGGCCCCATATGCTTGTAAGGAAAGAAAGCAGAAAAGGCGCGTGAAATAGAATACTTTTTTTGTCGTATTCGGCGTCTGGTGATTGCAGCGCGTCCTTCAAATCTCTGACACCCAATGCTTAACTGTACCTCACTTTTTTATTTTATTTATTTTATTATTTTATTTTCTCTAATTCTCATTATAATTTATATATAAACCCCAGTTCTCCCCTTTGCCCACTTTCTTATTCTTTGTCGTCGCCGTCAAATTTCAAATCTCTCTCACTCAGCCTTCCATGGCCGACCGCGTCCATCCCGCGGACTCTCCCCGTCCGAGCACCTCCTCCGTTGCCTCTGACTACAAGCCTCCTTCTCTGTCCGCGGCCGCTGAAAAGGCTTCTCCTGCTCCCGGCACATATGTCATCCAGATCCCCAAGGATCAGGTATACCGCGTTCCGCCTCCCGAAAATGCTTACCACTTCGATCGCTATACTCGCCGAAAGCACCGCCGCAGCCGTAGCCGCTGCTGTTGCTGTCTCTGCTGGCTTCTCGCTCTCATCGTAATCCTAGTCGTTCTTCTAGGTATTGCTGCTGCGGTTTTTTACTTAGTCGTTCGCCCTAAATCGCCTAATTACTCGATCGACTCCATCGCCATTAGAGGACTGAACTTGACTGCCTCGTCCACATCCGCGATCTCGCCTATTTTCGATGTGGCCGTTCGAGCGGATAATCCGAACAAGAAGATCGGAATCTATTACCTAACAGGTAGTTCGGTTCGAATCTATTTCTCCGATGAGAAGCTTTCCGATGGCGTTTTGCCTGATTTCTTTCAGCCAGCGAAAAACGTCACTGTGTTCCGATCGTCTGTGAGAGGCTCTGGTGTTAATCTATCAAACAAAGCGACCAACGCGATGATCGATTCGCAGAATCGGCATGCGGTACCGTTCAAAGTGGAGATTAGAGCGCCGATTAAACTAAAAATAGGATCGGTGAAGAGTTGGAAGATCAGAGTGAAGGTATTTTGCGATGTGACGGTGGATCAGTTGAGTGCGGCGGCGAAGATTATTTCAAAGAACTGCGATTACAGTGTGAAGCTATGGTAAGGATGAATTTAATTATTTTGATTTTCTGTTTATATAAAATTATTACTGTAAAACTTTTGTAATGAGTATACACTATACACGATCCGTTTTTTTTTTTTTTTTTTTTTTTTCCTTCTTCAATCGATTTTGCGATGAAAACTAAATTTTCCTAAAAATACTTAAATTTAAACACAATTTTTTAAATTCAATTTCATTAACTAATTTAATGAAATATATCTTAATTAACGAACACGATTACAATAAATAATAACAAAAATTCATTTGATTATAAATTAAATAGATTGAAAGCTTAGGATAAAAAGGAATTTTTGTTACACAATATTTGGATTATGGAATTAATTTGTTTATTTTAAATTTATGGATTAATTTAAGGGGGAAAAAATGGAAGTTGGGCTGAAAACGTGGTAACCATGTTTGTAATTTCATTCCGCCTACGCGTGTTCTTGGGAAATGTGAATTTTTAGTTATTTTTATTTTATTTAGTTTAATAACTCCTAAATGGGTTTAAATTTTAATAGGTCGTTGAAAAAAATATTTTTAATTACTGTAAAATAAAATTTAATTAGGTCTTTTAATTTAAAATCACTCTCTAAACTTATAAGATAGTTGTATTTGTAGCAAATTTAAGTTTATTTTTCATATAATTATTGTAATTTTTAAAATTTTATTTATATTTAATATTAAAAACTTATATAAAGTCGGATTTAATTTTGATGCCCCAAACTAATTTTATTATTATTATTACGATTTATTAACAAAAATTATGAGAAAATAATTAATATTTGATAAAAAGAACAAATGAAATATTCCATTAATGGAAGAAAAAAGACCTTGAACATGTCGTGTTGCCAATTGCATGCAAATAAAATCAAACAGATTTTATTATTATTATTTATTTTCAATTTTTTAAGTCCAAACAGTTGCCAATTTGGAATTAACAAATACCCAAGTTTTGGATTATTGGAATTTTCAAATCAAAAACCCTTTTTTTTCCTTTTTTAATTTGGACTTATTCAAAATTTTGTGGCAATAAATATACCTACTTTTCATAGACATTATATGTATCCATCCTAACCCCTACATGTTTGAAATCTTCAACAAAATTTGTAGTTTCCAAAGATTTAGTGGAAAAAAATATAATGGATTTTTTTTTTTTTTTAATTGGGTAATAAAATATTTTAAATTCCTAGTCAAACTCTAAATTCAAGTTTTTTTGGAATTTTCATTTTAAATAATTCGGGCCGGCAAATGAAATGATTAATCTAATGTGTTTTATGTAAATGAGAGCGTTTTCGAAGATCGGTCAGTTGAGAAATGCTTAAAAGAATGTAAAGTCACTATTTATACTAACAAAGTGCACCTTCATTTTCAGTAAATGTGATTTGCTTTGAACAATTTCTATGTTGTGTGATCTGTTAAGAATTTTTTTAAAGGTGCATGTAAATGAAAACAAAACATACCAGAATGAATCGCGTTGGTCTTCTTCACTACTAGAACGAGGTTTAGATCTTGGGCATGGATTGATACATGATAAACCCTCCTCTTCAATCACTAATCCTCAAAGAAACAAGAACAATTAATACTAAACATGTTTCAATTTAAAACAATTATTTAGTTCCATCTCTCCATGTCGATTGATGAATTTGATTTGTGCTTCACGTTCATTTCTCTATTTTTAAATCTCGAATTTGAGACTTATACATTTGTTAAAAAAGGACTCTTGAGCATATTTTCAAAGTTTATTAGAGAAATAAAATGAAACCAAAATAGTATTTAAGCATTTATACAATTATTAATTAATCAAATTATAATTACTTATTTTTAAACAANAAAAAAAAAAAAAAAAAAAACTTATGAACATGCATGATTTTTAAGATCAGAACACTCCAAATAAATATATTATAAAACGACTTATATTTTTAAAAATAAATTAGGTTATTTATTTAAAAAAATAAATTAACTACATTCGTTTCATATATTAACATTCACATAAAGACAAATTTTTTATTAATGGACTTAATTTAGCATAACTAGTTTGAGTATTATATGAATTTTAATTTTTAATTAACAAAAAAAAATAGTAACTCAATAATTATGAATTTCATCTATTACACATATTCAAAGCCCAAATGAGCATCAGCAAACAGGAAATCCCAAAACTTGTGAACATCCTCTTCAAATTTTCATTGCCAAGAAAGTGCTCCAGCCAATGCCATAACTTGAAAGAAGCTTCAAGCCAATTCCATAGAGGCATATCATTGAAAATTAGAATGACCTCAACCTTATGTCTATACAGCTAAAAAAAGAGGCTAAATTCTACACCGACCTTACCGATCAGTCAACACAGGCTCCAAATTTCATATCTAAAGTCATTTCACAGAAATATGAAAGACTAATAC